GGGGTTTTCTCTTCTCTGTCCGGCCCTTCTGCTGTTTCTACCCCTCTTGTGGTCATAAGTCTCCCTACCTCCTCCTTCTTCACCCCTTCTCCCAGTCTAAACCACTCCTCCTCCCCCTCTTCCTTCTTCCCATCCCGTCCATCCCCACCAGCCGCAACGACCATCTCATAGCTCTCAATAGCCCGCACATCAGCCCATTCAGCACCAGCCGTCTCGCGCAAGAGGTCCTGGCGCAGCGTGGGGTGGTGCACACCGTTGAAGCGCGATGAGCCGCGCCAGACGACGCGCGGGTCCTTGTGCGCGAAGGGCAGCGCGTCCTCGATGCGTGCTATCGCGGCCGCGGCGCGCGCTATCGACCCGACGAAGGGCAGCGGCCAGCTCCAGAAGGCGAAGTGCGGCATCAGGAACGTGCGCGTGATGGGCGGCATTGCTGACGCTGGCGCCGTTGCGTACGCTGGCCGGGCGTATGACCATGCTGCCCCGTAGGGCTGGTCCCGGATGTTGAGCGAGAAGACTGTGTCTGGGAGGGGTGAGGGAGAGGTTATGAGCGCCCGGTGGATCTGGTGGAGGGCGGCTTGGCGGGCCTGTTGGATGGGTTTGTTAATACTTGCGTAGTGAGTAGGTAGTTGTGATGAGGCGGAATGATCTGATTCGTTCTCACCTGAAGAAGCTCGGGTGAGAGCGTGTTCTTGTCCTCAGCGTGGATGATGTAAAGCTGTTCATAGCATAATTAGCATCAGGCCATTATGGGACTATGCGAGAATCTTTAGGTATTTTCACCTGTCCATCTTTGACCCGAGCCTGGAGCGGCCCTTTGCCGTGCGCTTGCTTCAGTGTGAACGGGCCCAGCGCTACGGTGGCATCGAGATCTTTAGTTAGGTCTGGGAACGTGGCCTTGCATTCCTGCTCGCTGAGGTTTAGGAGCTGGTACACATCTGGAGATGGCAGACTGGTAGGTATGAACTGTTCCGAGTTGCGTTCGGGTGGGCTTTGCGCCCAGTGGAAACGCACGAGGAGGCCCAGGTATAGTAGGAGAAACGATGCAAGCAATATCCACAGTCTTCCCACGCGTGCCGGTTGATTCCGGTACATTCTAATGATACGTACGAATTCACATGTGAATCATCTGAGAATATGCAATCGAGAGATACGTGCTTGCATCTGATCGACTTCAAAGATCGCATGGTTCGGGACACAACATAGTCTAGACTAGATGTTCGCTGTAGTAGACGGCCAGAGATACGCGACGCGCGGGGTCATTGGTCGATCACGCCATGAGATTTTTGGCCATTACGTGTTGCCCCTGAGCTCGCTTTCCGGAATCTGACAATGATCTAAACAGGACCGCAGGCGTCGAGTTGCGCGGCGGATGATCTGGCAAAATCCGGCAAAATCCCAATTTCTCTGGGTCAATTTCTCACTTCACGCCATCTCCACGCTGCGCGAGATAAGCGAGTAAGGCAAGTATTAGCATATTTCAGTACTGTAGGACCTGGATTATACTACTCTCATAGTCGTGAGTCGTAGCCTTATCGAGTTGCCGTATCGTCTCGCAGACCGCGACCGTCTCTCCCCTATCTCATCGGTACCCCGATGATTACCAGCTCTGAGAGTGATAGGGTTCGCTTAGCTAGGAGTATTTTAGAGATTGATGAATGGGATAAAAATAATGAGTTCAGTACCTCATCCTTACAGTACATGCAGACTGAAATTGAGACTCCCATATCTCTCAGAAGCCGTCGGCTGTTGCATTAGAACAGCTACATGGTTATGGATATGTACAAGATTGATGAGTGAGGAGGCGCCCAACGTTCATCATAATAATGTCCTAAGAAACGCAATGCACATATTATACAAATTTACAGAACCGCCCGCCATGCCAATTTGATGCCCCATTCTACCTACCTACCTACATATGCGTTTAGAAAACCTCGTAATGCGTGCTGTTCCATATTGGGGTCGCTCATGTTACCTTAGTCAGCGACACGTAACATTGATAAGGATTCTTGGTGATCCTATCGAACGAGTCCCGCGAGCTCAACCCCTCCGAAAGCTTATGGAACTCGAAATTCCACACCAGTAACGCCAGCACGATGCGCGTCTCGAGATACGCCAGCCGCCGGCCGAAGCACGCACGCGGGCCCTGGCTGAAAGCCATCATTGGCCCGCTCTGGGCGTCAAATACCACGTTCCCGTTCTCGTCGGTCTTCAGCCAGCGCTCGGGCCTGTACAGATGCATGTCGCTCGGGTCCCAGCTACCGCAGAGCCTCTTCTCGCGGGACGACGGGCTCCGGATGCTTTCTGGCACGGGGATGGCCGGAGAGCGGTAGTCGGGACCGTCGGAGAGTAAAAATACGGCTGTTCCCTTGGGGATCTTGTGGCCCAGGAGCTCGGTGTCGACGAGAGCCTGTCGCACGGTTACGGGGATGGGCCCGTCGTAGCGAAGGGACTCCTCGAGGACGGCGTCGAGGTACGGGACTTGGACTTTCCATAGCTCGACGGCGGTTGGCTGCCGCCCCTCTGCATGCGCTGCTGGATATGCCGCGCGAAGAGCAGACCGCAATTTAGCTTGGACTTCTGGGTAGTCCGCGACGTGTTTGACCATCCCTGTCCGGGCGAAAGAGGTTAGTTCAGAGATCCACGACGGATTGCCTCGCAACTAGGAGGAAGCGAGAGGCATAGACACCTCCCAACTATCTAGGTTCACTCACAAGCGAGCGCTGTAGAGCTCGTGTCATGGCCAGCGACGAGGTATCCAAAGAGCTAAGAACAGTCAGCAGAGCGTCCCTTCAATTTACAGGGCCAAGCAGGGCCAACCTCATCATGAATTCGCGGCGAGTGGAAAACCGGCCTCCGCCCTGCCTTATCCGCGGCGTTCATCTCCCGCTGCAAGATGTGGTCCATAGCGGACCGCGTCCCGCTCTCACCCTTACGAAGACGCACAACGGCCTTATCGATCTCGTCGCGGAGGAACCTGTCCTTCCGCGCGACGCTTCTCTTCAGCGCCCGGTCCGTCAGCATCGCATAGCGGTGCGCTAGTCTGGGGAACGGAGCCTTTATCTGCTCTCCCTGGTGGATCCCAATCGCCTCAATGGCGGCTATGTCGGGCAGGGGAGGGAGTTCCGGGAACGTCACGCTCCCGTCGGCTTCGGGCGTGGGCCGGAAGCCCGGCTTGGACAGCAGGAAGTCCAGCTGGTTCTTCACCGTGCTCTGGTCGTCTTCGAGGCCGAAGGCGGCGGCGTTTATGATGTCCATCGCCGCGTCGAAGATGTCCCTGCGCGCGTTGAACGGGCGACCTTCTCCCAGCTCGGCCTTGAGGGTCCATAGGTCGATGAGAGCCATTGTCTTGGCATAGATTTGTGGCGCGGAAACCTGGGGGGTTGTGAGCTTATTTGTCCTTGTTAGTAACTAGGATGACTTACCTCGTGTAGGAAATTAGGGGTCATCAAGTCCCGCACAAGCTCCTTGTTTCCCTTGAAACGAGGATCCGCTGATGCCATAGCTATGTGATGGTTCGGGGCCACGCCGGCGAAGACATCCGTGGTCATAGAACCCCGATCGAACTCACGGGTTCGTCTTAACAGAAGATCTTGAGATTCCCGGAAGTCAGCAAGGATCAGACTAGGCTTTTGGAATGGCGCCAGCCAGACTTGCGTGAGAGCAGACTGGTGGCGTATCGGATGCTGTATGAAGAACGGCCGTGTCTTTCCCGTGGTGCGTAGCATAGATACCATCTCCGGCAGATTCCCGAGGATGCTATTTCGGGCACTCTCGTCGTAGGGAATGCCCGGGATAGGTTTCGGCAAGGCCCAACGGTAGGCAAGATACAGCGCCGCGGATATGGCGATGAACAACACGAGAGGATTCGCCATACTGAGGCCGACTGGAATATGAGGCGCCATATTAGCGGCAAACACTCAAGTTATCAATATTGCAAATACGGCGTCAAACGTTAAGTGAGAGACATAGAAGCAGTTGATAATATTTGATTCGAACTACTTAGTAAGTCAAGTATGTTAGCTAAGCTATCTAGAATGCCTGAACAAGCAGACGTATTAGTTAAATATGGCTAAATATTTTGGAGCCAGCATTGCCATGACTCTCCTATGGGCCTGGACGTCTTGGAACCATGCACGCTACCATGGATGAAACTGTCATAGAATGGGGTTCCTTCGGGTTGTACCCGTCTCTTCGGGTGGCACCCGCGGGACCCGATTGAGAGTCTAGATAGGCCGTTTGGGACAACTGAAGGTCCGAGGCAGCGGCTAAGCGTTCCCTGTTAGTGAGAATATAGTGTATTATGCGATGGGGAACCACGTTTTCAACGTCTCCCGCAGTGGAGACTATTCTCCGAGGGCATCCAGAATGTGTATAGATAGTACTTATGACCTATGCATCTGCTTGTAGACATTGGTCTATCCACCGTCATAGTTTAGAGGAAATGGCCTCTCATCTACCTAGTAGCATTAAATGCCACCGAGGGTATTGTGTAGGTACTGCCAGGGTTATCTTACCCATCATCAGCTACCTAACTAAGGTGGAGATCTATGACGAGACTATGGAGTCAGCTAAGTATAGCGCCGGTATAACTCATGACCCGGGGGTAGACACACAATCAATACGAAATGTCTCCGGCCGTTGGTTACGCCGTGGAACCGGAGGAAATGGTTCGGATTCGTTCCATCCTTCATCCGTTCACATGAATACACTCAGTAAGACGGAGCCGCATTCTTTCTTTATCTTATCGAGCCCACCTAGCATCCAGGTCCAGGAAGCCCGAAAGAACATCTTGGCAAAAATAGTAGGATGGGTGTCAAATCAGGTTGTAGCTGTATATAGGCAGATAGAATGCGTGTCATGTGCTGAGACTAGCAAAAAGAGTTGTGCGCTTGTCTGGGAAAAAATTAGGAAATGAAAATATAACAAATAGGGGAGGGAGCACTTCAATCAAAAAAAAAAAAAAAAAAAAAAAAAAAACCCCAAGAAATCCGCAAAAATAACTCCGAATCGGGGAATCGAACCCCGGGCTTGACGGTACTGATCAGGGATGACGGATGAGAGCGTCAAATGTTAGCCACTACACCAATTCGGATTGGATGATGGACTCCATAAAATGTTACATATAATCACCCAACGAGGATAGAACCCCAACGTAAGTTCATATCACCAACTCCCCTTAATCGGAATTGGAAGAAAGTACTTGGCGGAACTATACGGTCTAGTAAACACTTGCATCTATAAAGAACTAAACGCACGACCTACGATTGGGCACCCAAGTCTCAAGACGCATCGCAAGAGACGTTAGTAAACGGCAAGCTATCCGAGATCATCATTGTTTAAAATGCTGACGTTTATCAGTCCGAGTTGCGTCGATTGACGGCGGGTATAATCTTCACTGTAGGTCATAAATTAATTGCCTACCTTATCGCGCCCGCGGAACCCGCGGGTAACTAGGCAAATCTCACTGGATGCGATCCGCGGGTATTGCAGGTTTAAAGGCTCTCTGACGTGGCTTAACCGCACGCATCACACCGACCTAGCAGGTCAATCATTGCATTTAGACGGTCTAGAAGGCCGGGTATAGCAGCAAAATCTATAAGGGCAGAGGCACGGTGATGTAATTGACAATGCTATCGTTGTACTTGACAAGTCTAATCAGCAAAACTCCGTCGCCATGTTGGAATGGTCTGACCTATTCTCAATAGCGCGAATAAGATAAGACCTCGGCTTGTTAGTTCATCATTTAACTATGATACACTGGATTGACGATAAGTGGATAGATAGTATGAGGATGGAACACGAAAGCCTACGCCCGGAGCAGAACTATATGCTTGATAGTTTATTAAGTAATATTATGAAAGTATTGCTGTAGTGTTTACAAGATGAGGAGCATAGACAAGGACATCCCTAGGCATAGGACAGGTAAGAGAGGAACGGTGAGTGACCGTAAAAAGGAGAAAACAAAGTGAAGAGGGTATAGAGGAGATATGAATAAGAAAGATGAATCAAAAAAAAGAAGACGTAGAGAAACCAAACAAGTCAAAGGAGTAACCAACTCTCGCCCCGGCTCCACGCATTAGCATCACTTCATATCCACAATCTTCGCCACGCCGCAAGTTCTCTCCCTCAAAAGAATATTCATAAGGGGACACGCTTCATACCCCGCAGCACAGCTTACAGCAGCACCCGAGGACGCAGTTCGCGACTCTCGCGCCCGCCTCCTTGACGCCCTCCTTGACACGGTCTCTCCTGCGGGCCGGTGGAGGGTTGTCTATGACCTGCAGAGTCTGGAGGTTGCCCTCGCGGTCCCGGTAGACGTGGGTGGTGATGTTCGGGCCAAGGATGAGGCTCCTGGGGATTGACTCGGGCGTCCCTGTCGCCGGTATGGATGGCGAGGCCCGCGTGATCACATGTCCAGCGGCAGCATGCACATCCCCACTGTAAGAGGTAGTAGTACTAGTGGCGGATGAAGAGGCAGTGTTGGCCGGGACGGCCGTGTCTTGGCTATGGCTTTTTGTGTTAGTTATAGCTCCGTGTTAGTGGCGGGGGGGAAGGTGATAGATGCCTCCGTGCTGACTCACCTGGGCCCCCCAGCAGATGTACCGCCGGTGATATTGGAAGAGTTCATGCTGAGCGGATGGATGACCGGTGGAGTCGTCCTTCGTAGGGGTTTTAGATAGGACAGGCTCGCAATAAGCAATACTTCGAGAAATACGTATTCCCGGACGCGGAGATAGTCGCTTAATGAAGACAGACTCTGACTTAACATGTATCTATCTGCAGGAAGGCAGGCATTGTTGCCTTATTTATATCTTGCAGCTTTTGGCTGCAGACTTCTCCGTGAAACTCACATAGCGACACAAGCCTAGTCATGAGGTCTGACGGGTGACGCGTTATCCTAGGAGTAAATTTTGGAAAATAAGAAAAAATGAAAATATAAACGAGCATAGTACCGTGAAGGTACGTGAAGGTAGAAAAAAATTGAGTTATCAGGTGTGCAATACAGCTCTTGTCCAGGCAGAAGCGGTATGAGTAATATGAGGCGTGGACTTTGTTTTCTATCAATAAAACCCCAATGGCATCAGACGTCTGACGTAAACCAATGGTAAAGAACACGAGAAGGTTGAAAGCACTCAATTGGAATGCATCAACTAGCTACACTTTATTGGCTGGCATCTCGTAGGGTGTGTAGAATACATTTGGGAAGCCCCCAAGCCCTACCCGAGCGTTGTACGAACAGACCGTTGAGCCGCTAGCAAGAAAGTGAAGCCTAGATTATAGAGAATGCCAACACCAGCAAGAAGTGTATATCATCGAGGTAGACGCGGTGACATAAGAACGTCATGACGGGAAACCGTTAGTATCACAACAGAAACAGGGCAGACGCCGTGAACGCCGCTATACACGATGGAGTAAGGATATCGGGGACGATCAAAAGGCATGCATACAGATCCCATATCACGGTGAATAGGATAGGATACCATAGATTCTAGGGGCTCATATCCCTGCACTTGCACGTGGGAAATGCCGACCCGTACGGCAACCTCCCTTTCAATATTAGAAATTCTCTGGCTTACTATTCGACACGGTGACTGCTCGTGAGTATGTAGAACAGGGATATCTGCTGGCGTCGGTCTCAGCCTCGCCAAGCCCGTCATCTGATCTCGTTTCCAGAATTTGGAGTGGCAGACACGTAGGTACTGTAATGCCCGTTAGAGGGTAGCGGCAGAAAAGAGGAGGGTTGCAGTCCAAGGAATCCAACGAATTTGATAGATGCTGCAGCGTACCCCGGGGGCAATATATGCGGTATCATAGTAGGCGTGTCGTCCGCCGTCTGATAGATCGGACGGCTAGGGCGAGGTGAACAAGCTAGCCAACTACCTGCGCCAGAGGGAAATCCAAGCTCTGCGTGAAGCTAACTAGGGCTAATGTTCACTATAGGGAGAATGCACACCGATTCGATCCTTTGGCAAGATAACCCGGGGCGAGGAGCGTAAAGTAATCCGGAAAATTGATTGGTGTATCATGTTTTGGGTCGCCGCCATGTTCACCGGCGTGGAGCTAGATTAAGCGAACTTCAACCAGGCAGTAGCTGACGACTTCTAGGTAGACGTGCAGGCTGAAACAATCTACGGCCGTTATCGTGTGCCAGTTCATGCTTTCGAGTGTATTACAACATGCTGATGGCCCATCGTTCGCCCCCTACCCGAGAAGTTCAGTGGTCATGAGAGAGAAATGAGTGACGAGTAGCGTAGCCGTACGCGAATTTGAGGTGTTAGGATATCGAATTGAATAGTGTCAATAACCGACTGGTTCCCGAAGTCGCATTGTCTCTACACTTTTTTCTTTCTTTGAAACTGTAGCATTGCTAGCGAGTCTTGGTGTGTTCGCACATATTTCCAAACTCCGAGGATTCCATATCCGAGCACAACTTGCCGCTTCAACCACGGCTAAAAACACGTGGGCGAGACGCATGTCAGTTGTCGACGCGCCTAGAACCATCCTGCGCCGCGAATACGATGCTAGCTTCATGTGGAAAGCTACAATAGGGCGCGGCAACTTGGGGACTAATGCAAGGCACAAGAACTCCCTCAGGCGTTGCTATCGAGCCAACAACCGATGCGAGGGATGCAGGCCACGCATTCTACATAAGGTCAGCAGGCCTCCCAATTCGCCAGTACGACTGACAGCAGCAAATCGACAGGAGCCTATGATCGATGGGGCTCCCCGCGCCGCTTTACCCACGCCCTCGGGTCAGTGAAACGCCGCAAAAGAACATAGCCAACTACTTGGATGAAATCTCAATGGATATACGGTAGATAAAACCAAAATAATATTGGAAACACGCTTTCGCCAATGCCCTATCCGCAGTACTGTGTATTCATTACAGTCCCTCTATCCCTTCGTTCAGTCGTCATCAAGTCGTCCCACCCAGTCAGTCTCCTACCCATTCACACAAAAATGCACGTTATCGAATCACAGTTTGCGTAACGCCGCCACCGCCGACGCCGCCTGGCCTTGCTACCGCATTACGGGCAATGAAGTCGCGGTTCTCGATCGTTACGCTCTTGGTCATATGATTGACCTTATACACGCCCACTAGGCGGGCTGCGAGTTCGAACATGTTGTTTCGTAGAGATATGACAATGAACTGGGCGTTCTTCGTACGCTCCTTGATATAATTGGCCACAATCGACACCTAGAGGTCCTGTTAGTCAAAGCATCCCTAAAATAGAAAGTAGGATTGCTACTTACGTTCCGGAAGTCCAGAGCGGCGTCGATCTCGTCCATCACGTATAATGGAGTGGGCTTGTAGTGGTGCAAGGCAAATACAAGCGCCAAACTCGATAAAGTCTTCTCGCCACCACTGAGGTTGCTGATGTTCTTCCAGCTCTTCTTCGGCGGCATGACTGAGAATAGGATGCCCTCGCTGAAAGGATCCAGACTGTCGACAAGTTCTAGCTCGGCATTGCCACCCATTGTAATCATTTGGTACATCTCCTTCAAACGAAGGGAGATGGTGCTAAAGCCTTCCATGAAGCCCTCTAGGCGAAGACGACGAAGATCGTCACATCGCTTCTTGGCTGCATCGCGTTGCTGTACAGCACTAGCCAGGTCAGAGGAGCGAGCGCTATGCTCTTCAACACGGCGGCGATATTCGGCAAGGACGCTGACGTCGACATTGACATTTTGGGTCTTCTCTTCAAGAGCAGCGATCTCAGCTTTCAGTGCCTCCTTGCTCATGTCCTTTAGCTCATCCTGAGTAAACCGTGGAAGCTCTTCGGGTTGCTCCGCAGGAGTTTGCTCTTGTGATTCCTGCTCCTGTTCCTGCTCCTCGCCGTCTGCCTCGGCAGATTCCTCTGCGTCATTCTCTGCCGGCTTCTTTGTTGGTACCCCGCCCATTAGATCACTGACGTTCTGCAAGACTAACTTGCCTAGCTTCTCATTCCAATAACGTAAGCGCTTCTGGTTTTCGACAAGAGCCTTTTGGTTTTCCTCGAGTTGGTTGCGCATCTCAATTTCCGATGCGCGTGTTTCGTTGAGTTCAGATGTTTTTTCATCTAACTCTACTTTCATCGAGGCTAGCTCCTG